CAATGAAGGAATCATTAATCTTAGTTTTTTATTAGCCTTATTTTTATAAGCTTTAGTTTATACTGAGTATAAGTTTAAGTGGCAGGCTAATAAAAGAATTAACTGAAATTAAAAGCAAAAATCTCTTTCAGTTACTTACCTTGATGTATTCGTCGCTGTTTTCAAGCGATGACTTTTTTTGCGCCAAGTTTTCCAGTAATCGCTGACAGTACTGTTCAGTTTCTGGCAGTACATTTTCGAACTCTTTGCGACTTTGCTCTAAATCCTGAAATACGCTCGATAAGTAATTATTTGCTTACGACAGTTTTGATGTGCTCCATAAATTATTCCTTCTGCAAATACCTGGCGTTTTAGTTCTGTCCCAGATTTTAGTGCGTCGATATTCTCAAACTGTTTCATCTTTTGTACTAAGTCGTCCATCCGTTCGCTGATATTCCTGTTAGTGGTCTCCAGTCTTTCCTCCATTTCTTCTGCTGATAGCAGTTCTTCTTGTAGGCGGACATGTACTGCAACTCAGTCGTTAAGTGTGCTAACATAAACAATGGAGAGAAAGAAGTGCTTGTTTTCGCAAACCATTTGGTTTGTTCTCAGTTTTCTGCAAATTCACCTGCTTGAACATTTTCATTTGTTGAATGTAACGTCAATTACAGCACTATTAATAAAATATTACGATGATAACTAATAAAAAGTATTTTTAGTGTGTTTTCCGTCACTTGTTCAAATTTCTTCGAAATTATCTTCCGCATGCTCTAATAAAAATCTTGCCTAGTGTCTCAACATCTCTTTGAGTCTATTGTTATTTCTAAAGTAGAGATATTAGAGAAAATAAGTGGACCCTTAAAGTCATTTCAATTTGCGACTTTGTTGAATTAAATCTGAAAGCGACAACAAATCATGATCATCCCCCTTTCCGAATCGTTCTCTGCAGACTTGTGCTTCCTCGAACTGCCTTAGACTGCCCGTTGTTTGTTTATCTAGCACATTGATGAATTCGACCGAAGAAACAGAACGAAAAAATTTTTGTCCTAAAAAGCAATGATCTTACAGTTTTCAGGCTGTTCTTTGTTGCAGAATCAACGGTCATTTACCTTTTATGCAAATTGTGCTTTCTATAAAAATTTAGACACTGGCCTGATCTAAACAAAAAATTCCTCTGAAAAACTGAATTTCTCATTTCCCCTTTTCATGCGTTAAGAATTACAGAGTTTCTTCCGTGCTCAATTTTTAACATTTTTAGCCCTGAATTTAGCTTAAATTGCCGAAAAAACTGAGTACTAGTCACCATGTTATAGCATGATTCACTAGGGGTGCGCAGCTCAAGATCGAAGGCCTGGCAGGGCTGCGCTTGGAAAGTTGCACCACTAACATGAAATCTCTATATCAACTGTTCGAACGGACTTGGTATTCTAAGTATACTTGATAACCGTGAATCGATTTGTGCTTAATCTGGTAAAAATAGTCTTCGAAGCACTAGCAGATCTGTCTCACTCCTGTTTCGGTTCACCCTTCATCTTCGGTTTAGCTGAACATTTCCTCACTCCATGGCTACAGTACTGAAGCAGACACGTCGCAGAGTTGGCTAGAATATTTTAGTTCAATACCTCCCAGCTTCTTCTGTTTGCACATGATAGAACATAGCGTTTGAGGATTTCATGCTTTTTTGTCAATTTCTCAATTCTCAGACAACCCATTCACCGGCCTTCACTCGCACATTCAGGGTCACAGTATGCTGCGAGATAATTTCTTGCTGACTCGGTCCTTTCGACAGCAGCACAGCTAACCTGTTTTAAAACAATCAGAACTTATTCAAAAAGCATTTTGCTAGAAAACGAAAATTTTTGTGTGTTCAAGTAATCAGCACTACTCGAAAAAAAAATTCAACATACAGTCCTTGAGTTCGTAAGCAGAAGCATTTTCATTGCCCTGTAATGCGGAGTTGTCAGTGTCTGTGATTTGGCTACTCAGGTCCAGCTTTGTGCCATTCGTTGAAATGAGCTCTAAGGTGCGAATTATTTCATTAGAGGCGCAATCGATTCGGGCTTCTTCGTTGGCTTTCAGGTCATCATATGCATCCAGAAATTCATCCATTTGCATCTCTTTCAGTTTCAGTTCACGATACTTCTCACTCTTTTCTCCTGCGTTGATTTTCAAATTATTTCATACATATGAAAAAGCAGGCACTGCTGAGGGTACAAAAGTCAGCGACAAGGGGAAGAGAGGTGGAGGAAGGATATGGTGCATTGTGCTTCGATGGGA